GTTAACTGTAGTAGTGCTTGGCGGGTTTAAACAAAAGCGCCGGGTTGGACGCAAGCCAGACAGATAATGCATCATATGGGTTGTTACAGCTGATAGTATATAATTAGCAGTTTAAAGCAGCGATGACACTGTAAATGCTCGATAAATTAGCAGCTAATTTCTTCTTCTTCTTTTTTTTTTTTTTTAAATGATCTCCTCAGAGTTGATTTCAACAAGGACAGGAGTGTGAGCGCCAAGGAGATGCAGCGCTGGATTATGGAGAAGACGGAGGAGCACTTTCAGGAGGCCATGGTGGAGAACAAGAACAGTTTCCGAGCTGTAGACCCAGACGGCGACGGTGAGAGAGAGAGAGAGAGAGCAGATAATCACATCCACACTGTCTGTTTTTAAAATCCTGTCAGGCTTGTGGTCTGTGTGTCTCCTAAACTAATAAATACTTTCTGTTTTAGTCAAAAAACTCAAATTCTCAATTCATGCTTTGTGCTTAGGTCACGTGACGTGGGATGAGTACAGAGTCAAGTTTCTGGCCAGCAAAGGTTTCAATGAAAAGGAAATCGCTGAGAAAATAAAGAATAATGAAGATCTGAAACTGGACGAGGAAAGTAAGTATAGAACTATATGGAATCCAGAATATGTGCTGCAGATATCGAGTTAAAATCTGTTTAGGTAACCGTATCATTGAGTTGAATTTTCTTCATCGTTGCAGCTCAGGAGGTTTTGGAGAGCCTGAAGGACCGCTGGTTTCAGGCCGACAACCCCCCCGCTGACCAGCTGCTGAATGAGCAGGAGTTCCTGTCTTTCCTGCACCCTGAGCACAGCAGAGGCATGCTCAAATACATGGTCAAGGAGATAGTGCGTGACTTAGGTTCGTTTTACTCACTCGATATCTGAACCACGGGCTCCGTCGTCTTAACACAACACTGACACGAGATCAGCTTTAGCAGAGTTGTAAGCAAACAGCAGCCTATTTACACATCCAGCTGACACAACATGAACATTAAGAGTGATGATCTGACTGTGTGATGGATGCAGTTTCAATATTGACTCTCCTGTAGTTGATCTCTGTCTCTTTAGCTGCTATGTTCTCTACTATGTTCACCAGCTCTTTCCTAATCTTGCCTGTGAAGCAGGTTGCTCAGACTATTGATGAACTGAATGTGTTGGATTTAATTTCAGCGTCTTCTGTGTTTTCGTGCAGAGGGAATTCTGTTCTTGGCCTGTTTAGGTCACCTGGTTTGGTGTCAGTGCTTGTAAATGTTGTAACCCAACTTTGGCATTAAAGCTCGGGTAGTCGGTTTATTTTAGGCATCACTGGGGGGGAAAATCCATAGCAACCTTTCAAGGTATTTGTAATTCAAGAGACTAGACTTCTGCACCTCTTCCTGGCTCTGTTTTCAGGCTTTAAAAAGTCTAGCCCTGTGATGGGAGACCAGTCTGTGTGCACGTCCCTTCAGATAAAGCCTCACAGCCAGATCTCCACACTTGGTTTTAGCACTTTGTGTGCCAGCGCTGGAGAAAGAGCTGCCTCATTCAATGGTGAAAAATCCTGCAGTTTGTCATAAATATCCAGTACCTCCTTTGCCGACAACGGTATTTAGTATAAAACGTGTGTGAACGCGTCCCGGCTCTACACGGAGCTTCATATCGGATGACTGGCAAAGAGGCATGATGACAAACTGGGGGGGGGGACAGTGGTGTGTGTGTCCAACATGCTTTTCCTGTTACATAGTTGAATAATACGGTGCCCCTCCCCCGCCCAGAGAAATCTTCTTGCCCCTCAGCTGAAGCAGAGTGTTGCTGATGCAGACAGAAAGGATGTGTGGACCATCGTCTCTTCCCGCTGTTGGAGGCCCGGGAGGGGCAGTTTTATGTGGCGTATGTTTATTCTGCCTACCCCGGCTTGGCAACGGGTTACTTGGTTATCTAAACATCTTCCTACTTTCTACACACTTTTAGGTCACACTGCCGCCACAAACGAGTTCTGCCGAGTATTATTGCTACCTGTTGGCGTTTTGCCTCAGACAGACAGTTCTGTATCAGCAAATATCTGTTTATGATGCTCGTTATGTGTTGAACAGGGTAAACATGAGATGTTCATTGTGCTTTGTAGACCAGGATGGTGATAAGAAGCTGACACTGTCGGAGTTCATCTCCTTACCCGTGGGCACCGTGGAGAACCAGCAGGCTCAGGACATCGATGACGACTGGGTTCGGGAGAGGAAGAAGGAGTTTGAGGAAGTCATCGATTCAAACCGTGACAACATTGTCACCATGGATGAACTGGAGGTGAGAACTCTTGTTCGATTGGTCGCTGTGGATCCAGTTTACTGAAACAGCACTTCCCAACCTTTTTCCTTAACGGACCCCTGACAACCAAGTGACATACTTTTAGAGATTTTCATATTATATTCAATGTATAACAATAACAGTACAGAACAACTGATACTGAACCCAAATAGTGAACACAATANNNNTTGAGCAGATTATTTCCTGTGAGTTTTACTGATGTTTTTTAGAACTTTATTATGTATTATGTAAATAAATTTCATACTTAGTAATCTTCTTAATAAACAAATTCAGTGTTTTCTTCTCTGTGTACCAGAGAGTGAAGGCTCTGTGAATGTAGTTTGTGTTCAAGTCTTCAAAGTTTAGATCTTAAATAATAATCTAAACTTTAAAAATAACAATTTCATGTCGTTTTCTTCAAAGAAATGAACGAAATACTAAGATGTGGGCCTACTGTGTAGTATATTTTTTGGGTTCAATTAAGGTTGGGAGCCACTGTATAACCACCATAACAACACCTACAATTTCTTTCTAACTGTACCATCAACGTTCCTCTCCTGACATGTCTTCTTCTGGCGTGGCGTGCAGGAGTACATGGACCCCATGAACGAGCACAACGCTTTGAACGAGGCCAGGCAGATGATCGCGGTCGCAGACGAAAACCAGAACCACAACTTGGAGCTGGACGAGATTCTCAAGTACAGCGAATACTTCACGGGCAGCAAGCTCATGGATTACGCCAGAAATGTTCACGAGGAGTTCTGAAGACAAACGCAAACCCTCCCCCTTCCCTCTCATTCTCCATCTGCTACAGGGACAAGCCTGAGGAGGGGGCCCAACCTAATCGTAGGATGATCTAGTGTGCAGTTGTGTGTTTAAAAGCCTAGCCTTAACGGCCTCTTTCACTGCTGACTAAAACGAATACGTCCCTCCTTCAGCCCTGGACTGTCTGCCAGCCATCACCGTTAACATGGTCTGCCTTCTGTGTGCCATTGGACTTTCATGACTTTTAAATGTTGGGCTTCTCCATGAATTTGAGGCACCGCAGCAACTCCAAATTTCTTTGTGTAATATTGTGAAATGTGTGTATATGAGGAATTTTAACCCTGACTAGATTTTTCCCGTTTTCCGGTGCGGTAGTGAGAGAGACGGCGCAGCTAGGCGAGCTATTCGTTCTGCAGGATCTGTTGTCTTCAGCTGTAAATAGTAATCGTCACATACCAATGCCTCTGAAAATAAATCGAATGCTGCTGGAAGGAACCACCCTAATAGAGATATCATATCGCCATGAACAGTTTATTGGTGACGCACAAAACACCACTTCATTCCCCCAAATACAAAAAGCTTACTCGTTAGTGGTGTACACTTCCACTACTTTGCATAATAGTTAGTATCCGTCCTTCTACTTATAAACAGGGTATTGATTGTGTAAAAAAAACAAAACCAAAAAAAAAATAACGTACAAAGATCCTACTTAGCACAGACTTTCATTAATAATTTATTGTCAGAGTAATACAAAATGTAGGCAAAGAGATTAATATATGAGCTTTCTTCACAGCAAACATTTTGACTTATTGAAGGAAAAGCACCGGTGTCACTGGTTTGCATTCATAGCGTTAACATAATTAGTCTCACCTGTGTGTGTCAGGTCAAACTGTCTCCTGTGGTTAAGGCCTGGCAGTCTGATTCACCCTCGTGTTAAGATGTGGATACAGATGGATTTATTTATTTGACTGATTATAATTTGGATCATTGCATCTTTGAACATCGCACAGGTTTGAATTTCCTTTTACTACGTGTAGTAAGAGGCAGCTCTTGGGTGTCCTTATCTGGGTTCACGAAGGATAGATAGCTCACTCTTCATCATGTTCACCTGGTAGATTTCGAATGCTCTTGGTTACAATTACCTGCACCTTGTGTTTTTTTTTTTAAATGAACGATGCATGAACGAACTGTGGAGTTACATTCCTCCATTTTGTTGAGATTTTCAGAAACCTGTGGCGTGTTTGGATCCTGCTACAGGCTCCTCTGTCCTCGGTCCTGTTTGAATTGTAAGATAAGATTTATGATAACAGAATGTGACACAGCTTTATAAAATGTATTGCAGATATATTGGTCAACAATAAATATTTCTTATCAATTAAATACCTCCTGGATTTCCTTTTTAGATTAAAATTAATCTGTGATGAAAGTAATTAACTGTTTATATCAACAAAATGTAAGGAAATAAGTGAAACATGACAACAAGTTTCTTGTTTTGTCTGTAAAAATTATCCAAATCTCAAAGATACAAAATGTTCTATCATACAGGCCTAGAAAAACAGCAAATATTCAGATTTAAGAAGTCATATTGAGTAAATGTATGGCATTTTTTCTCAATCTAGAATACACTGCCATGCCAGCAGCCATGTGAGGCTGTACTTTAGTGCTGTTAGCTGTAACAATGCTGACAGGCTCATGTTTACTATGCTCACCATCTAAGTTTGTGTCAGTCAGTCGATCGTCACAAAATTAATTGGCAACTGTTTTCATTCATTGCTCAAGCAAAAAAGCCAAATGTTCTCCGATTGCAGCTTCTCACAGAGTGATGATTTTAGTTCTATGTCATTAAAAACTATGTATCTTTAGGTTCTGGACTGTCAATTGGATAAAACCAGTCTGAAAGATATAAAAGTACATTTTTCACATTTTCCTGACATTCATTAGACCAAATAATGATTAAATAATTGACTGATAATGAAAATAGTGGTTAGGTGCAGCCCTGTGTTTAATTTGAATGTATATGAGATTGTGTAACCGTTTAATGTGAAAAAGATTCTTCCGTTTGAATCATCAATGAGTCCCAAGTTCTGTTTTAAGAAGATTTTATTGCGTATATACGGGTTAAGGTTCATTGTGTGTTCTATGTAATGTAGCACTTCACAACACAGCAGGACAACCATCATTTCACCAAACCAATGATTTGTTTAGAAGCGGTTACATATCATATTACATATGAACATCAATTTGTATTTTTATAAATCATCTTTGTCAGATTTGATTATTCACAATTTAAAAGCATTACTGTGAATTTTACAGCTGCAATCTAAATGGCTTTGACTTTTACATGATTGTGTGAAACCCCAATCAATTGTGATGCGCACGCTTTACTTCACAAACATCACTTCACAGGACAAGAGCTTTTACATTTTCCCAATATCGTTAATCTGTTCGTCGTACAAATCAAACGTAACACTGATAATCCTGGAAATCAGTGAAGCTGCAGTTTACGAACCTGCCCTGAATGCTACTCCATGTCAGACACATGCAACCTTAAGAAACTGTAAAAAAACCCATGTCAATCTCCTCTAGATAGCACACCCTACTCTATACGCTGAACCGTACTGCATCGTTCAACATACTCAACACATAAACATAATCAAGTCAGCGGCCAGTACTAAAACAGAATGGAAAACACAGTGACACATCATTATACAGTACAGTACATAGCTTACTTTTTTTTTTCATAATACAGATAACGAACACACGGTACATTCATAAATGAAACATACAACATATTCATCTAACTTATCACGACGTGCTGACATATTAAAGTTTAAAATAGGACATTGGCCTAAATAAGTAAGGCGATCGTGTGTATGTAAATGCAACCTTTTAAACAATTATTTGATGATTCTGACAGTGATAATAATAATCATAATAGTAGAGAGCAGCAAGTTCCAGTTTCTCTTTAACACACTTTTCAAATGGAAAAAAATGGGACTTAACATGATAGAAATCAATTTAACGTTGCAGTCTGTAAGTAGAGTTCTCAACTTTAAGTTTGTCCCCCTGAACTTGGGGACTGTTTATAAAAAGGGCTACAACTCGTACTTTTTTTCGTACATGTAAATGCTTTTAAATTAAAGTTGAAAGTTCAAG